AGGCGGCTCTTGAGAATCCCCTGGACTGCAATGAGAACAAACCTATCAGTTCTAAAGGAAATCAACCCTGAATGCTCACTTGAAGGACAGATCCTGAAGCTGAGGCTCCAGTACTTTGGCCATCTCATGAGAAGAAAAGAGTCCTTGGAAAAAACCTTGATGTTAGGAAGGTGTGATGGCAAGAGGAGAAGGGGACGACCGAGGATGAGATGGCTGGACAGTGTCTGCGAAGCAACCAACATGAACCTGACACAACTCCGGGAGGCAGTAGAAGACAGGAGGGCCTGGCGTGCTCTGGTCCATGGGGTCACGAAGAGTCGGACACGACTAAACGACTAAACACACATCCCTCCCCCAGGAGATTTCATAAGTTGTGAAAGTGATTCTTATTTTTATCTTTGGACAAAGAAATCAGACCTAAACTAAATCTGGGTAGGGACCCAGTCTACTGTGGTGGGAAACTTGATAAACTAGGATTCAGGGGGCCTGAGTTCAAATCCCCCCTTGGCCATAATTACAAACCCGGGAAAATTTGACAGGGGCCGACCTGCGTAGGATAGGCGCTGGACAAAAGGGCTGCCCGCATAACCCTCTTCTGCTAGCAGGACCGAGCCTCCGGATACCCTAATCAACCCCCTCCCCCTCTAGTCTCCTGCCCCTCCCCCTCCATGGCAGGCGCGTCACTTCAAAGGGGATTCCCGGAAAAGAAAAGAAAAAACAAGTTCACGCACCGGGTCGCTTTCGAGCGCTGTCTGGCCTGCGGGGTGCGTCCTCTACCTGGCAGCCGATGACGACATCGGAGTCCTTCTTATCTATTGGTCGAATATTTTCTTTGCAGCCAATCCGCACTCCTTCAGGAGGTGGGGGTATTCCTGTGATTTCTGGTTCAAACATTTTGCCAAGGAGCTGCGGGCGCAAAAGCGTAGCGACTTCGGAGCGAGAGGATGGCGCTTCGCTTTTGGCTGGCCGGGGTCGCCCTCTTGCTCCTCGGGGAGCGCTCTCCTGCTCCTCGGGGAGCCAGGCTGGGCCCTCCCCTACGGTATTAAAGGATCCCCGGCGCTTGGTGAGATTCTTGATCTTTTTTTTCCTTCCCGAGATCGAATGGCTTTGGGGGCCGGCGACATTGGGGGGGGGGCTTTGCTCCTCCGCCTCGGGCAGCAAAATATGTTGAGCGCCTTCCGAGCCTCCCGGGAGAGGGAATTTAAGAGCCCCTCGTGTTAGGGAGGGAGAGAATTTGCGCCTATTTTGGTTCACACGTGCCTCGGTCGGTCCCCTTGGACGGTCCAAGGGAGTTGGAAGGAGTTCAAGACCGTCTCTTCCCCCCCACCCTAATCCGGATCTCTTTGTAAATCCCTTTTTCCCGGCTTGTACGTTTGGGGAGCCACCAGGGGCAGAGTCCCACTCCGTTTATCCTTTTCGGAGCTGTAACTATGACGGGCGCTGCTTGGCCTAAAATAGAGCTGAACACGTGTGTTTTTTTTGGACTGCAGTTCCCAAACCCGAATTGTGCAGGCTCTGGATTCTGGGAGTTGTAGTCTTAAAAGTAACATATCCTAGTGCTGAAAAGATTTATATCTTCTTTTTTAGTAATCACAGAGCCTATCAACTGGTTTCCTAAAGGCTCACCTTAATTATGCCTAATCAGCCCCCACCCTAACTCAACTGTGATGAGGGCATCAGATGAGCATGTTGGTGTGTGTGTGTCTGTCAGCCAGTCTGTCTGTCCACAACCCCTTTCCATTCCAGATGTTGTGTCGACTTTTCCACCTTCTGTTGCAGTTCATTTTAGGCTCCTTTTCTCTAATGTATCCCCCCTCTCCCGTCACAATGGCCTTCTGTGTTGCCTTTTGGGCGGCGGCGGAGGGGGGGGGAATACAGCTGGGTACTTCTCGGGAGGTTTTCTGAACTTTTGGGGACCCATCTGGCTTGGAGGAAGGGGCAGTCAGTGGAATCCCGTTTTTAAAAGAAGTCTTCAAATTATGGACCTTTTAAACGTAAACAGGACAGTGAAAGGTTGTGCTGGACTTTGATTCCTAATTCTGTGCTTCTGGTGTGCTTCACCTTGGGAGGGGGGGACACTTATTGCGAGACCCCCTTCCTTCTCCAGCATGATGAAGGGTCCATCGCTTGTCTCTGAAGGAGGCTTTCGAGATAGTATTCTCGTCTATGGTTGACTCTGTTGCTTTGATCTTCTTTATCAGCAGGGCTCATTCAAGGTCCAAGGGGTTTTTGGAAAGGCAAAG